TTCTAGACTGACTCAAGTTCTAGGCTTAAAAAATAAATCTATAAAAATGTAAGAAAATATGAAATTTCTTAAAAATCTTGGAGTGGAGATGGTCTAAGCCATAAGCAGAATTTAATGCTATAAAAATTAAAAACTTCTGTAAGTTAAGAGTTAACAGCAATGTGCATGTGTTTGTGTGTATGTACTTCTATGTAAACTTTTTGTAATTAAACAATAACTTTTAAGCTTGACAGTCTGTTTTATAGAGTAGTAAGCTCACTTAACCTCTAAAATATAAAGTCGCTATCAACTCAATACTTCATAGTGTGTTAATTATGAATGCACGGTAAGCTATTTTAAATACCAGACAGTATAATTAGAACAAACAGAAAAACCATACTTTGTCTTTGGTCAGCATCTCCATCTGGGTCCGTGTTGTTGCGTGATGGTTTAACTGCTCCATCTCCTGGTCCAATTTACGCAGGGTCCTATCTAGGTCCACTTTCTCATTTTGAAGGCTTATAACTTCTGTTTTTAGGGTTTCTACATTGCTGTCTTTCTCGGCCTTCCTTAGCTCACGTTCCTAATCAATAATTCAAACAAACGTGTAGGTTTACGTACTTTGTGTAAGAATTAAAATGATAGCGCATCAGAAATTAACTACTCCTCAGAATGGTCAAAATATTATTGTTTGCTTATAACCAACAAGAGAAAAAACATAAGGCACCATATTTGCTTTTAGGAAAATCTTATTAAAGTTACCTTACTGCAGTATAATAGTAGAGAATTAGTAAATAAACTTGGAAGGGTAAAACAGGAAGGAAAAATAAGAATCAGTGCAAAATTAGGAGAAATGTGCCTAAGTACAAAGATCAGTGACTCTTTAGTCAACAATTAAGTATTTATTAAGTCCTCATGTAACTCACTTTATTGCCTGGTATGTAGAAAATATAAAAATAGTGTGACATGGTCCTCAACTGTGTCTCCCCACCCCAACAAGACAATGCTGTGATAAGTGCTCGAGACAAAGATGTATGCTACAGTGGGAAGTTAGGGAGTAAAAGTCAATGTTTACTTCAATTACCAAGATGGGATTTAAGAGAGGATTTGCCAAGCTCTAGCATGCTTACTCTGATGATGGAGATATGAAGGAAGGGGACAGATTAGAAGTGAGGAAGAAAATTTGGGAATTCTTGAAGAGATTGGCTAAGAAAGTTTCACCACAGAAAATGTGGAAATACAGCAAAAATCTCATAAAATTACAGTGCGTGAAACCCAGAGGGAAAATATTTACTTTTTTACTTAGGTAAGTGGATCTTAAGCAGGGCGTTCATAAGAATCACCTACTTTTGTCGTGTGTGTGTTTTTTTAAGAGACAGGGTCTCACTCTGTTGCCCAGGCTGCAGTGCAGTGGTGTGATCACAGCTTGCTGCAACCTCAAACTCCTGGGCTCGAGCAATCCTCCTGCCTCAGCCTCCTGAATAGCTGAGTCTACAGGTGCACACCACCATGCCCGGCTATGTTTTGAACATGTATTTCCTTGGCCCACTCTCAGAGATTTTGATTTGGGAGGTCTGAGGTGTTAAGGTCTAAGAATAGGTAACTTTAAAAAGCTTATTGGGTGATTCTAATTTTTAACCCACCAGTTTCTAGAACCAAAGAGTTGGGGGACCAAGATATCCAAATAAGTTCATCTTACCTTAGGACAGACAAGGTTGACGTTTTTATTAAAATGCCATAATCTTAGGATTAGCAAATACTTCAGAATGCAAGATTCTATATGTCTTACATCTTAAAATTATTATTCAAATAATATCTTACAGCTTTTGTGAGCTCCTGGTCCAGTTCAAGAATCCTGTCTGAAGATCCTTCCAACTGCTGTAATTCATACTTCACATTTTTCAGCTCATGCTCCTTCTTACTTAGGATTTCCGACTTTAGCTCAATTATTCTTCCCAGTCCAGTTTTCTTATCCCTTATCTCCTCTATTTGTTTTTGTTTCAGATTCTCTTTTTCTGCAAAGTCATTCTAAATACGTTATGTGAAGAATGAGTATTAATAATTTTTTCACTAAATCATTAAGAAAGTCTCTTCATTGCAAAAGCAATTCACGTACAATGAAAAAAATACAGAAAAGTACAGTCATGCGTTACTAAACCACAGGGATATATTCTGAGAAACGCATCATCAGGGAATTTTGTCACTGTGCAAACATCATAGAGCGTACTTACACAAACCTAGATGGCACAGCCCGCTACACACCTAGGCTATACTACAGCTATTGCTCCTAGGCTATGAACCTGTACCGCATGTTACTGTACTGAATACCGTAGGCAACAGTAACACAATAAATATTTGTACATCTAAACACAGAAAAGATACAGTAAAAATAC